AGCAGCGCTCCGGCACAACATGGTGAATTGATGATACGGTAGATCAAACAAGACACAAAATCAACGCTTTCAGTTTAAACATACCTAAAAGGAGGACTCTGTTTGACTGGTGCGAGAGATTCACACTGCAGATAATGGTTTTACACAGCAAATGTCAGATATTTTGCGGTTCAGCCCTTAAACTACTACGATAGCATAGAGAAGTCCAGCTGTTGCTAGCTGGTGTCTGAATACTGTGATATGCTCTGACATGGATGTGGTAGGAGTGACAGCAGTGACCTACCGAATCAAGTTGACGTTGTTGAGAAACTAAAGAGTTTAGCACTGTTGTTGGCCACTTGTTTAGTATTTGTAAATGGATAGCTGAGCGCTCGTCACCAGACAGCTAAAAATAAGCTGTTTTCTTTCTTAAATAATGACTATTACAAAAATTGCAGCTGTGCTTTTCCAGCTGATAAAAACAGCTCAGAAACTTTCTCCCACTGTCCCAAGACAGATTAGTGAAATGTTCCACTGTTTGCCGAGTGTTTGTCATGATCGGACCATAAGTGATGGTTTAAAACCACAATTAACCACCCAGGAGCAAAATCAGGCTTCAAACGTGAAAGAAATAATGATTTGACATTTATCGCGATATGTATCAATATCGAACGATATGGGTTTTGTTTATCGTGATAACGTTTTTGGCCATATCGCCCAGCTCTATGTGAAAGTCATACAATGAATTGTTTCTTACATTTTGTCTTTAGCCTCCAATGTTTTAGTTCTTACTTATGTTTTTTTTCCCTAATGTGTCATACTTGCCTGCTGAGCCTGCACTCCTAGACTATTCTAAGCATCAGTGCTTAGCTTGTAGCTGTAACTTGTATTAATTCAAGCATTTGTGTGCAGACTGTGTGGTTATCACTTGCCTTGTAGTTTTTGTTTTGTTACTGTAATATATTGCCTGTTCAGCTGTCTTCTGTCAAGCTGCAATTGATAATTATCTATCACACACTTTATTTGGAAAATAAAGCATTAGTTAACATTGTATTGCTGTTTTCTATGTCTGTCACTTCTGTCACCCTTCATATACTTAGTGTTGTGCTGTCTTTGCCCCTAGACACAAAGAGGTTAGTGCAACATGAAGTGGTTCAAGTGTAATATGTCTGTCTACTCTCTGCTTTATTATACATGTTAGGCAAGTTTCAAATTTTCAAATATTTTTGTCTTTATGATTTTGAGGAAGGTTAGGAAAGTTTCAAGGGCAGGAATAATGGCTAATTTAATTGACCAAGGCCTGATTTTTGTGAACTTGGATGGAATCAAGGAATTGAGACATAAAAGTATAGTGGAATTTGCGTATTTGGGGATTCATGTTTGTTGTTGTTTTAGCAAATGCTGTTCTTTTCAGAAGTCCTGTTGTTTTACTGTCTACATCAGTGCACACTGTGTTCAGCTCCTGCCTGTCAGAGAATAAGCTAGTTGACTGCGGGAATGGATAAAGTGTTGACTCTTTGAATGAGTGTCACTGAGGCAAAACGCCACGAGTGCTATTTCTTTCCCCTTTAGTCTGGCTGAAGTATCTTTCTTGAAGTATCTAGTTATCGTACTGCAATGGCAGCAGCATTAAATATACACTGCGTGTATTTACTTACTCAGGTGTGACATAAGTCGCACACTCCTGAAATAAAACTGAACCAGAGTTCCCACTGGTGTGGGTTCAAACCACTTTCCACTTTTTTTTTTAATAAAGCACACAAACTATTTGAGTGCTAATATCACTTATAATTTGCTCATGTTGGTGTGAATTATAAATGATAAATTTGTATATGAATTTTGTTTATGACCCAAACTTGCTTTTTGTTTTTTCATTTCTTTGTGTTCTTGTAGTTTAGTTTACTTGTCTTCTTAAAGTAAAAATAAATAAAAATCTAAACAAACAAGTTTTCCAAAGCCCTATGACTATTTTTGACTATTTAAATACACCCTTAGTGTTTATCTTATCCCTTTTCTCTTCTTGAGAAAAGGGATAAGATAGTAATCCCTTTTTTCCCTTTTCATTTGCTTCATGTTCTTTTCAGTTTTTCTTTCCCTGCCTTTTTATTGGCGACTTGGAGGGCTTTTAGACTGCGGCTTTGCTCAAGGCGAAGATCGAGTTTCAGTTGTGAAAAGTGCTCCGTTTTCCAAAATGCCCTCAGCTCTGAGATTTAGGCAAGGGTGGATAATCAAAACCAGAGACAGTTTGGCTTTGGGGCTGCAAATATTGGCATTAGCAGGATGGCCTAGGTTATGTCTGCGTATGATGCTCACAGTTTATCAAATTTGGGACAAGAATAATTATGTTTGTGTGCAAGTGTTAGCAGAAGATTCTGAAATGCAGTATCCCATGCTTACGTCATGCTTGTGGTGTTCCTATTGATTTGTCAGAGGACATCTGAGTGGCTCCAGTAACCATTTGCTATTGAATAGACACGCTCAGCTGTGGTGCACAGCTGTGGCTGCTAGTGCAGCCCATACTCTGCATGAATAGAAATGAGATTCTTCTTGGGTTTTGAAATTCTGTGCCTGTCTTTGCAATTACTTATTTGTATTCTTTATATTGCTTGACAAAACTAGGGTTTTGTTGCTGTGTATTACAGTTACAAAGCAAAATCTTTCAGATGAGAGTACATCATTTTGGCACAAGTGGCGCACCATATGAATGCCTCTTCACAAATCAGCCATGGATGAACGCTGAGATTGGTTAGTCTACTCACATCTCTGTAGCAATGCTGGTGAGAAGACACAGTGCTTATTTTCTGACTTGGAATACTACATTGAGTGAGATGCCTTCACATTTTCAACATGATGCAGAGGCCAACGATGTGATAATGATTAGCCTAATTTGTTGTAAGAACCTTTTAGTTCAACCTAGGAGCTTTAAGTCCCAGCAGTCAAGAAATGCTGCCTGGTAATTTACTCTCTTAGTTTTGTAACTTGTGACCTGCAGACCTGTCCTTAAAGACATTTCTCAGATCAGTCAGCCCTCATCTCAATGTGAAGGCCTACTGAGTAGACCAACTGAGAGAATTATTGGTAGTATGATACAATCCAGCTGAATAGAAAGGGACGACACAGGCCTTGCTGCTTCCTGTGTAGCTAAACTGTCCAGATAAGGAGCCCTGGTTTGTCTGGTTATTCCTGCAGTAATCTTTGTATTTGAGACAACCCACAATTTATGGAGCTATTTTGGACTGTGTGTGTTTGTGGAGGAAACCCTAAGTTACGTCAAGAGTGAGCTGCTCCGAGAGGGGCATTTCCTTATTAACAGGAAGGGTGTGCTCAGGTGCAGTAGAGCATGATTAGGGTGTCTTTTTCAGTAAGATTTACTCATGTCTTTTTCATGTTATGAGTAGGGTTGCACAGTTGGGACTGGCTAAAATCAGAAGACTTTTGGCTCAAAACACAAAATCAGCAATCAGCCAATGAATTGTTCTTATTTTTTGGCAGATCAATGTTGCAGTTGTATGCAGCAGGTAAGTGCTCTCATGCTGTATATGGTCTGAGCATCTCTAGTTATGTCGGTGCACGCTGTAGAGCTGTTGTGTGTGTATATATCCTTTGTTAATCGTTACCTCAGTATTGATATTTGCAGTACTAATATCACAGAAGGCTGTAATATACTAGCAAGTCCTCTACCAAATCTCATACATTGGCTGTGTGCTAGGAATGTCCCAAACAATCACAGGTGTTCCAGATAATGTATTAAGGGTGCAACAGTGCATTGTGACCTTGTTAAATTAGAATGCAAATATTTGATGATGTGGTGGTGCATAGTGAAGAATGAACATGCTATTTATTTATCTGTCTATGCAGCTGCATTGTTTGAACACCAGTTTGCAAACACTGACTCCAGCACTCCTCCTGCCTCCCATCTGTAGTGTTGTTAGTATGCTATGCAACAATATGATTATAGTTATCATTTTTCTTCATTCAAATTTCATTCGAAAGTATAATGAGAATATTAAATCGTGAACTCAGTTTCATCGCATTATAATATTGTGACTAATATGCAGCCCTAGTTCACACATTCACAGTGAATGTGCTGTGAATGTCGCTGACAGAGCTGCATTTTTCCAGTTTCTAGAGTCCTGAAGGTCCACTGTGGCACTTTTTTCTGTAAGACAGTACTGTCCTGGGCTGAGACTGTGCTAATATCTCTTCATTCCTCTGGGTATTTGTTTCGTGTTTGTGTGTTAGTACCAGTTTTCAGAATAAAGCTGAGATCACAGGAACTGAAACCATGCTTGTGAGCAGAATCTTGGATTTTTTCTGCTGCTGTGTCTTTTTTTAAAATGTCCTCCTTGCAACTTTCACATCACCTTGCATCAGATCCACTGGGTAGCCAGCTCTGTTCTAATTTAGTATCACTGGCTGAATTTTAGTGGAATTGACATATTAACAGGTTACAGATGAGTCTTCTGTCTTGAGCTGAGTAAGGCTCTTTCATGGCTTTTAAACTGTATTGATGGGTTGTTTCTCATGCAGGCCTGCCATCTGGTGGTAGAGATCTGTAAGTACATGCGTCTGGACAGGGGTTCATATATCAACCTATTAAGTTTCAAAATATACCAGTTTACAGAGGACTTGTATCATCTGTCACGTGTCAAGCTCCAGTCCTGGCAGGCCAAAACACTGCAGACTTCAGCATGCTACCTCATTAAACACACCTGATTCGCTCATTAGCTAATTAGCATGGCCTTCATGAACTGAATCAGAGCATTAGATGAGGGTAAACGTTAATTTCCGCAGCACTTTGGCCCGGAAGGTCCCCAGTTTGATATCCCTGAATGGTTCAGGTGTGCTCTTTAAAAAGTCTTCAAGAAATGAACATGTCTTTGTACTAGGGCAGGAAAAATACTGCACTTAGATTAGAGTACCACTCCCCTGCATTGAACCACTGACCTGCAAGTTACAGTTTTGTATCTTGAAAAATCAATGAAGAGGTTTGAGTTTTATTTTTATTTTTTTCCTCATAGATCAGTCTACGATGGGCAAGAGCATGGACTTTTTATGGAGAAGCTGGAGGGGAGGATTCGCAACCATGACCGTGAGATCGAGAAAATGTGCAACCATCACTTCCAGGGCTTTGTGGACTCCATTACAGAGCTGCTCAAAGTTCGTGGAGAGGCCCAAAAACTCAAAGTAAGCAGAGGAAGGTAGAGAGGAGTATAAAACTTGAGCCAAGAGGAGATATGGTACAAGGTTTAAAAGGGGAAAAGGAAATGAGCAATATATACGGATTTATGCAGTAGGGCTACAACTATTGGACACTTGCATTTTCGCATAGTCTTTTTAAATATTTTATTCCCAACGTGGTCCTTAGGGCCCCCAGATGGACCATGTTTTTGCTCCAGCCTAACTGACCTCACATAAGGATGAAGGAAAAATGTGGACCTTCTGAGGAGCCCTGAGGACCAGTTTGGGACACATTGTTCCATAAGAAAATGTAAAGCTAAGATATGTTTCATATTAATAGTGAAATAAAAAAAAAACAACTTTAATTGGGTTTTTAGTAATTAATGAATTAATTAAAATTTAAATACTGCAAGATAACGGAAAAACATTACTGATAAACACGTCATAGCAAGGAGCCTTTTTTGAAAAAAAAACTGCTGGAAAACTGCTTTACCTGAGCATGTATTAAACTCAGCTGTATTACTCCTGTCATCTGGTGCAGTTTTAGTAAGTTTCCTTTTGTTCTGAACGATCAGAACGCTGTCATTTATTCTCTGAAATAAATGCAGTTGAGAGCATGCTAGCTAGCAGTCCAGAGCATTTGGACTGAACCGGGCAATTAAAACCAACATTATTGCACAAAGATGAAGTTAGCTTCTTATTTACCAGGTTTATTTTTATAATTTTTTGTTAAATTTTAAGCTGGAACAAAAAAATGAATAAGAAGCTAGCAAATAGGAAAGCCAACTTGGACTCTTCATCAACATCACCTCAAATTAGAGCTCTAATACAGGCAGTTAATTAATTGGGTCTCAACAGCCCTTCTGTTACTACCATGATATCACCATGGTTTTGACAGTAAAGGACCCGTTGACTAACATAATGTGTGGGCTCTGTGCTTTCATAAGAACCAGTGAAAACCCTGGTTATTCGAATTACGTTTTAATTTTTCACTAATTATCAAATGTATTAAATTTTGGCAAATATTTATCTAATATGCAGTGGGGCTGACTATTAAAAAATTGAGAAAGGGGTAAAACGTTCTTGTTACAGACCTTTCTTGTTATAGGGGAAAACTTTCATGTTATAGACCTGATGCATTTTCATGGTTGCTAAGAGGATATTTCAGAGAAATGAAGTTGGATATAAGATGAAAGTTGAGACTGAACTTGAAGATGAAACTTTTGCAGTTGATCATTTGTTTATTTGTTTCAGGGTCAGGTGACTGAGACCAATCAGAAGCTGCAAAGTGATGGCAAGGAGGTATAAATCACCTGTCATTAAAAAGATGACCTGGACAGTTAGACATAAAACTCTTAGCTCTAATTACTGCATTTTACGTGATGGATAAAGCAAGATAGGTATGATATCCCACTTTAAATGTATATGTCTAACTAAAAGCATAATTTGTACACTTACAGCTGCTGACAACCATGGATGAGTTGAGGCAGTGTCGTTTGCAGCAGAGGAACATCGCAACCACCATTGACAAGCTCACACACTGCCTGCCAGGTGTGGCCCCAACAGCTTTGTAGTGCCCACTTCCTTTGTCCTGTATTCAGTGTTTATGTGTGTGTTCTGTGTCATTTAGGACCCATGACACTGGTCATTCTAATACTAACACGCTTTGAGAACATTTAACAGTCCAATAAACCAAAAACATATGGAGCTTGAAAATATGGAAGTTAAAAACTACTCTAATGTTCTTCTGTAGCTCATAACACTCACTTTGTTTTATTTTTCAGTGCTGGAAATGTACAGCAGACTACAGGAACAGATGAGGACCAAAAGGTAAGAACTCACGTTAAAATGTTCTGATAACACTCGACTTCATTCCTGTTGCATAACTATGCCATAAACTTGTCATGTCTTATGCTGTCGTGAGTTATCATGACAGATAATGCCCGGTGACATGTTTGACATGTTTATGTCAGTGACATGTAGGTTCAGTTAAAGTGTTGCCTACAATTTGTATCTCTGTAGATATATCCAAGTAAGTTTACCTGTTCATGAGCAGTAGGTGGCAGCAGAGACTTAAGCATATGCTAAATTTGCTTCAATACCAAAACAGATTTTTTTAAAAACTTATAAATAACTTTCACACAATGTAATATTTTAAAAGAGCAAATATAGAATATTTTCTTTCACTGATTCCTTTTGTAAGCTGTAGAAAATCTTCTGTGACCCACAAGAACATACAACTAAGCTGATTGTTGTTTTTTGTTTGTGTTTTTTTTTTGTTTTTGTTTTTGTTTTTGTTTTTGGGTCTGACTCACCTAATGAAAGAGCTAATTTTGTTTGGCCGCTAGCAAGTGTTGGATGTTGGGCTATAGAACGGAAAGTTGCGAATGGAGGTCTGGCTCAGTTTGATAGGTTTAAATACATACTTGCCATGTTTAATCTCCAAGGGACAGTGTACATTGTTTGGCTTCAAAACTTTATTTGAAAAGATCTCTGAGCATGCAGCACAGAGCAGTAGTTGCTGTTTTCAGTTTCCTCACATAGCATATTTTCTTCTTTTGGTTTATGCTTGGTTTTCTCAGTCTGAGATACAATGGCCGTTTCAGTTGTAGATGTCCAAGCCTTGGAATCTTTCCTTTCAAAAGACCGTGATTTTAACCATTTATTCATGGTGGATAAATTCCATACATTCAAAAAGTGAGATGTTTAACATTAACTAAACAGAAACACAACTAGCTAGTATTTTGGCAGGACAATCCTTGAGCTCATCCTAAATATGATGATGATGATGATGATTTGTTTGTAAATAATTCTAACAGTATTTCTCATATTTAAAAAAATTACATTTGGTTAAATGTATATTTTGTAATATTTTCTGGTTTAAAAAAAAACAAAAACAAAACTTCGACTCAGTTTCCCTCTAGCAGTACCACCGTGGTCCACTGGGAAGCTGCAGCCTGCAGATTGAAAATCACTGCTTTAGACTATGGGTGACTAACTGGGTTCTTTCCAGTCCACAGCTCTGTGGAGTTTAGCCTTCTGCTTCATCAACACACTTGACTCTGCTGATCACCTAATTAGCGAGACCTTCTGGAGTTGAAGTTCTGAATGTTAGTACAGGAAAATCGCTGCAGAGCTATGGCCTGGACAAAAAAAAAAGTTTGACACGCCTGCTTAGACAATTTAACAGTTTAAATATTTGGCTAAGCACAGATGGACTTGACTGAAGATGGACATTCCAAATTAAAGACATACATAGTAAATAAAATAATAATTTGTCGTGGAATAATAATGATTGTGGTTTCCGACTCATTTCTAATGTAATTCCAACTCTAAAGTTCTAAACTTAGTGTTTTTATTATTTATATTTGTTTTAGAAACATTCTCAGCACTTAAGTGTAAACCTCTAGATCATGAAAAACATACATATGGTTAGGGGTGTGGCCTACCCAGTCTGGTATTAGAGTATCACTGAAAAATGGCATGATTCTGATAGAGTACTTGTAAAGGTCGGTTTCTCTGCTGAGTGCTGCATGCTTTTTTTTTCAGCCCCATCCATAGCATTTCAGCTTGACGTAGATCAGTGACACAGTCAACATGACCAGCTAAAGACCCTGTTGCTCCACTCAGACTAAGGAGAGAATCAGAGCCAGCGACAGAATGAAAGAGCTGGAGAGAGAGGCTTGATGCCTTGAGCAGACAAGAGATGACCAGTGAAAAGAGGCATGCTGTTGAGCAGTCCTGTCAGATTACGAATGCACCAAAGGAGAAAGATGTTAAGGCTAAAACTTTCAGGCTCTCAGATACAAATGGAGGCAATGGGACTGAAGTAGATTTATTTTCACTTCTCTCTTTGTTTTTTTTTATCCAGTTGGTTGGCCTGATGCAGAGGCCTTTTGAGACATGCAAGTGGAATGCACGGTCAGCATGTGGCACGTTATAGCCCCGTTTAAATAATAAGAGTACCATCAGCTATCAATTGCTTTTAGTCTGTAAGTAGAAGAGTATGACAGTTGGGATTTGTGTGTTTTTCATGAACAGATTTGGTAATCATTTATAGTTTGTTGTTGTGTTAACGGCTTTGCTCTTTCGCTCGGCCTCGTCCTCCTTTTGACCCGAGGATGAGCAACTTGACGACAATAAATCTTACGTCCGTTTTTATTTTATTTATCTTTTCTCTCCATGTTTCCCTGCCTCCCTCTGTTGCTTGGTTTTGCCATTAGCCCCGAGGTAGTGGAGAGGTCGGCCAGGAGCGGCTCTCTCTAGAGCGTGAAGTATTGTGTAATTCAGAACGGCCGCATGTGCATCTGTGTGCGTTCCTAAATCCTCAGTGAGTCCGCTTTTGATTAATGCATGCACCCCGATTTAGTGTCATTTGTTAGAATTATTTGAGCATAAAATTATTGTGCAGGTTTTAAATGAACTGTGAACTGTAGTGCTCAAAAAATTCTCAAATAGGGAGAGTGTGGATCTGTGCTGGCAGTGGGCTTTACCTTAGTGTTCAGTGTTGGTCAGTGTGCACAGCAACGCTTGACACTTAATCATTTCTGCAATTGCTTCAACCTTTGTAGAGAGAGAAAGAACACCCATGGCTAATGGCTACGTAGGACCTATAACTTGACAGTTGACACTTTGCTTAAAGCTTTTTGTAGAAGAGCCATGATGTTTATATTGGACCTTTTATTTGTGTGTTTGTGTGTTTAGATACTACCCGGCTTTGTGCACGTTGGAGCAGTTGGAGCACACCTGCCTGCCGAAAGCAGGGGGCTACCGGTTCTGTGCCATCATGGCAGAGAACATCCCGGTCCTCCGCACACACATCAGAGATGTGTCCATGTCTGACCTGAAAGACTTCTTGGAGAGCATACGCAAACACTCAGACAAGATCGGAGAGACGGCCATGAAACAGGTGTGTGTGTTTGGAAAGCTTGTGGATTGTGGAGAGGGACTGTCAGTGTCTCTAATCTGTTTTTGATCAGAAGGAATTTAAGATGAGATTTTGATTATTGTAGTAAATGTAACCAACAGTCAGAAAAAATGATTAGAATGGGTGGAAACTCCAAACCTGTCACTCCATGTAATGACCTCAAGAGTAATATAATAGCTCACTCATGTCTGGAAGATAACTAGTTTAGAATTCACTGTACTTAGCTTTGCTTGTAGATAAAGTTTTGTCTCTGGAAGGCTGCTGTTTAAAGAAAGCGTAACTGGCTCATTTCTACAAAATTAATTTACCTGGCATGTTAAAGAAATATAGTGAAAATGCAGGAATGAAAGGACGACCCCTGGTTGAGGTCACTGTAGGAAAGGCAGCTGGGCTACTGTTTTGGTTTATGTAATTCATTATTTTTGTTTTTTTGCGTTTCTTTTCCGCTCCTTATCTCTGACCATCTATTCTAACCCCTTGGCAACAGAACTGCCAACCTGTTGTGAATTAAAGATTGTTCGGGTGGCGCTTACTCATGCCAGAGGACAGTTGCACTGTGCCCACTGTGTGTCTGTACAAGGACCTTACTTTAAGGACAAAACAGAGTTAAGGAAAAGGCAGAGGAAACACATATGAGAGAAATTGAGTGGACTTTTCAGTGGAATGCAGAAAAAGTCCTGCTTTGTTTTACTGGTTATTAGTCCAAGATGAGGAACATGGAGGAATTTCAAATGCCAAAAAGACACCAAGTCCCCAAGCTTCTTAGAAATATATCTCTCTGTCTTCTCTCTCCCTGTTTCTCTCTCTCTCTCTCTCTCTCTCTCTCTCTCTCTCTTTTTCTCTCTCTCTCTCCCTCTCTCTCTCTCTCCCCTTTTCAGGGTTTCCTCCATTTTCATCCTCTGTTCACTCCTCTTTCTTTTCTTTTTTCCTTTTTTCTGTCCTAATTACTACCAGTTCTGCTCATTATGGAGCTGTTGCCGCTCCTAATAAACAAACCGTGTGACACAGCAGAGGCCAAGACAATGTTGCAGGAGGGTTCATATGCTCTTGTCAGTAGGAGAGCCAAGACTGTGTGCATGTATATTTTTGTAGTAAGAGAGTGTGTTCTAGACTAGTGGATGCTCATATTCTTGTTGCACCGTTGTTTAATAAAAAAATCAGATTTTCCTCCTCAACCAAATGTAGTCGATCAGCCCAGACATGTTTGGTGTCTAAAGATTGCATCTTTAGTTTTGCGCTGGACCTACAAGGGTAATGTCACTAACAAGTAATGGATGATTATACAGAGCCAGCACAATTACCGTTGTCACACACTTGCCTCAAATTGCAGTTTTTTTTACATAATATATAATAGAATTGCTTATGTGACTGACACTGAGTGTGTTTACCTGCATTTAATAAGTCGATCATAATCGAATTTCTGCAGTTATCCTATTATTCAAGTGGTCATATAAATAGCATACTTCGATTTCTTAGATTGGAGCAAGGTCTAGAAATCTGATAAAGAGAGCTGGATTTTAGCTCAGTAATCGTATTTCTCAGCGCATGTACACTCTTACTAAGATTTTTTTCAGATTTCTTAGTCTGTGCACGTGCGAAAACAGAATGCCGTGCCGGAAATAAGCAAACCACTTTTGGAACGACGCTAAAACAGACTACATGCATGACGAAATGAAAGATTTAGGAGGTTTTTCATCTTCTAGATGTTGTATGTTCATATTTTCAGAAAATCAAAATCTGATTTTCTGCAGTTATCAGAGTATTATTGCATGTAAACACAAGTCCCCAGAATAGCCTGAATCTCTCTTTGTCTGTACTTCTGTTGTACTGTACTTATTGTACTGTACTTATAGGTAATAGTATGTTATAGAGGGTTAAGGCTGATTTGTACTTCTGCGACGATGCATGTAAAGAAGGAGTAGTTGGACATGCACATGTCCAAAATCCCAACCATGCGTCTTGTGAATTTGCAGAGCTGTGTGTCAAGATAACACTGATTGGCTTTTGGGTAGCGCTGGGGGCCAGACCAAGAGCCAAACGATACTGGAGCCAAACCAGAACTAGCAGAGCAAACAAGTGCGACTTTACAAACAGTTATTCGACCCATCTTCAGTGTATTACAAAAAAAAGTGAAGGGAGTCTTGAAGGGAGAGAGAGAGAGAAACTGTGAGACTTTCCTCTTTGTTTTCTGTACGTTCAGGTTTGGACACTGCCCCTTGGCAGACGCGTTCACGTCATGTGCAGATATGTTGGCGGGGACCTACGTGACTGTCTACGCGCTGTGCCCACGCGTTTTTGCAGATACTCATGTGCAGAAGTATAAATCAGCCTTTTGAAACTACATAAGCAAGTCTTGTTTGAAATTACGTAGTAATTTAAAGCTTTTTAGGGCAAATGTGTGATGATTTACACACACAGTTTGCACAGAGCTTGCTTTTCAGTACGTAGGTGTCCACTATGTTTTAACTATATAGCTTTGTAGCTTCAGTGCAGAACTAAAGAAGCAATCTTTGGACACCAAACATGTTTTGGCTGATCAACTACATTTGGGGAAATGGGTAAAATAAAAAAATAAAAAGATTTATTTTGTCTAGGGCTGCAACAGATGGTTGATAATGTTCTACGAATTCTATAATTAATATATTTGAAAATGCCAAAAAAAAAGTTTGAATTACTGACACATTTGTGAGCCAGTTCCCTTCTGTGGAGAAACAGATGTTTCTTTATCAAACCAAATACTAGGTTAGCTTGTCACCCGTTGCTTACAGTTGCCAGCTATGCACAGTGGACTCCTTGGAGATTGCAATTGGGCGCAGCTTGTGAGACTTTTGCAATTTGTGGGGACAACTTCAGGTGCATTCAAAATAACTTTTCTCCTGCTTTGGATTCTTAGGCAGCATGTGGTCAGTTGCATTTATTAGCAAGAATAAATGTGTGTGCGAGCGAGCTAGCTAGCTGTCCAGAGTTGTAGGAAAATTATTCAGGCTGCACCGATGTGGATAAAGCAGATGTGGATGAATTTAGGGCATGTTCTTACAGCTTAACCTTGATTCCCTGTCACTGACAAGTTGGCCAAAATTTTTAAAACTTTTTTAAGCTGGTCCTTAAAAAGACTTGGATTCTTTTTTATTCTTTTTTCCTGCCTAATCTGGGTTCAGAGTTGGCAGATTAGGCAGAATCCTTGGGTTAGTGTTTTAACTTGGTGTGAAAATAATTATTTATTAGTGTTTTTTTCTTTTTTTTTTTTAATTCAATAATTACCTTGTACTATTTAAAACAAAATAAATAAAAGGAATTATGCAATAGTGCATGATGATGATGATGATGAGATGATGATTGATTGTGGTGGTGGTGATGGTGGTAGTTAAAATAACTAATAAAGCACAGCAATAAGAATAAAAACTTTTTTCATTCAGTTATTATAGTACAACATGTCTTGAACCTTTTGTTATTCCTGTAGAATATTTAGATAATGCTTGATGGAATATTCATAAATGAAAGTATTTAGTAGTTAAAGCCCTAATTACATCATGCACCGGTGGGCAAGGATAGCTAATAACAATATCATGTTTCACCTCCCACCACCCCCACCTATGAATGAGCAAAAACTGTCAGCCCATTCAGAGGCTCTCCCTGATGCAGTTTTTCATCTGAAAATATGTACGGATATGGAAGGGAAAATGTGTTATCATTTGTGATTCACAGTTGATTTTACCATTCATTACATTTATAATAAGGAGCATGACTGGTAGATTAAGCAAACTAAGCTGTTGTGTAGTCCTAAATGACAATATGGCATTTTGTCTACATCACACCGCCCCAGACACAGCAGTACTTATTGAACTTGTGTAGAAGGACTTTTGCCGATCCCTGTTCTTCATAATCTTACACTCTGTGTGAGGAATCCTGGGTGTAATGTACAGTCTCTCTCTACTCACAATTGCAGCATGTTTACAACACTTTGTCTCAATAATTTCCAGTATTGATGAGTAGATGTTTGACCTTTTGTGGGAAGTCAAAATGACTGACTGAACTCCTGCCTCACGCAGTCTGCAGGTTCATGTAACTGAATGCAGGCGTCGTTTCAGCACTCCCTTCTCAACTTGTACCTCTAGTCTTCCATCCATCTCTTTCTTCATCAGTCTCCCAGCTGAACACCACTGTCGTGGAGGACTGGTGGCTTCAGAGGCATTCTTGGTGGACTTCCACCAGCCTCTGCAGTGTTGCGGCGCTGTTGGAGCGCTTTCCGCTGCTTCTGTATGGAAGACTTCTGCATTTCATTACGCTAGATTGTGAAATGTGTGTGCTTGTCATTTGTCGCCAGTGTTCTTCCTACATTTTGAAAGGAGGTTGCTTCACTCTGTCAGTGTCACACAAGCTGAGATGGAAGACGTGTTACTGCCACCACAATCTTGCACCCGCAGAGCAGTGTGCGATCATCATCCGTCCACAGCTGGGAAAGGAGTGATGGAGAGAGAGATATGGACATGGTGGGAAGGCACCAGGGGATTGCAAATGAGATTATGAAGAATAGGGATCAGCAAAAGTCCCTCTACACAAGTTCACTAAGTACTGCTGTGTCTGGGGTGCATGATGTAGGCAAATTAGTAAGTTTGCATGACAATAATGCATATGGTATATTTACCTACTGCTTTATGATTGCAGCTCAGCTTGAAACATTTTTAATTAGCTCCTTTTAAGGACTACCTATTTTTTTTTTTTGGGGATTCTTTGAGGACTATACATGAGGACATTTTAATTGTTTGGCCTTCTTGATTACTCAATTAGCCTAATTGTTAAAACATGCGGTAGCTTATTTACTAAAAATATATATATATATATATATATATATATGTATATATATATATGTATATGTGTATATATATATATATATATGTGTGTGTATGTGTGTGTGTATGTGTGTGTGTGTGTGTGTGTGTTAGTTATAGTGTATTGTGGTTTGGGGTGTAATGATTCACAAA